TAWATATATATATATTAATAATATATATCATTATAAGAACGAAGGGGTCGGGAAAYAGATCTTTGAGACTCACCATGAGATCCGGAATCATCCGCTTGTTGAAGTGCATGCGGATGTGCGTTCTGAGACCTCTGAGCGTGTTGCCCTTGTACTGGCAGATGGTGCACACGAACGCCCTAATGCCGTTGTGGTTGTCCAAATGTTTCTGAGCAGCCGACGCACTCGAGCAAACGGCACTGCAAACCGGACACTTCCAACAGTTGGCCGGCTGACACTGGTGGTGATGTGTCCCGTCGACGGTCATCTGCGAAAAAACGTTTTCGGTTAAAGCACATAAAATGTCATAATATTACGTCTATAGATTGGTAATGTACTCGCGGACGGGTTCTTTTTTTTTAYTATCTGCTTCAATATGCATCGTTTCACGTCTTACACTAATACAGGAAAATTTCATGGCCATCAAAATTATAGATGTAGACGTGTATTTATCCAAAGAGAAGTAAAATAAAAATAAAATGAACATCATTGAAAATCACTATCGTTAATGAATACGTCGGGAAAAAAAAACACTTATTTGAGAGCTTACAAATAGAATTCACCTAGCCAGAGGGTTGCCATCGTCATTGGTAACCCTTTGGTATATTTAGTACGGAGGCGAAATGTGACGATGACACACCCAATAATTTACGAYCAATAAGRTTGCKTATCCCAAGTGCTGTACTTTGTACTTTATGATATAACGTTGGCTCAACTCCCCAGCTAGCAACACCGTGAAAGTTTTTTTGTGGCGACGAGATACAAAAGCACTGAGCATAGTGACTGCAGTAATCATCGGGAGGYATTTCTTCCCGTCCGTGTTATCAAATATTTTCAAAATGATAGAAAAATAGGTTGGACAAGACAAAATGTTTTGTTTTTCACCTGGAAACGTGCAATCAAACTACGGCTTGATCTATTCCTGAAGCGCAGTGAAAGAGCAAACGGCGCATGGGACTTGTGGAAATTGGACGGCGATGGCAATTCAATTTCCGCTTTGTCCCCCTCACGCCAA